AAAAAAAAAAAAAAAAAAAAAGGCCATCGCATTTACCTCGTACCACACAGCCATTGACGCCTTCAACCCACCAGCAAATAATCAACAGTATATTTATCTAACGAAGTACAATCCTCAGAGCAAGAGCGATTTCTAGACCCGTCAATTAAGACTCAACAGCCCCGACCAAGTGTGGTGGGTGGGCTTCAGTCATCATGGAATATGTGATCCGCTTCGCGCAAGTCCACGAGACTTTTCGACGACCGGAAATCGAGGCTCTGGCCGCTCTGGCTGGGATTGATCTGGAGATCGTATACTATGACCAGTTTGTATGTTTCTCTAATTATTTGATAAAAATTTGTTTCAACATGGAAACATCATTTTTGCGATATAATGCCCAGTATACAAGCACTGAGGGGCAATAAAATGTCCCGCAGATTTTCTCCCCACCTCACTGACCATATACTACAACTACTATCACCACAAGGTATACAAATCGAACTAACACGCGCATTAGTCACCATACTGCGTAGTAAAAGTGCCAACTGAAGCAGATGCGCGCACTTTGATCGCGCGCAGTATCTTAGCAAAGGATATCTTCGAACTCTGGGGCCAAGGCACCAACTATGAGGAAGTGCATGCCGACGTCCGCAGGCGGACACAGCACCGCTGGGATGAGTTCAAGGGAGTTTCTTTCCGCTTCACTATCGATTCCTTCTGCGGGAAGCGCAAGATGGAGGCCAAGCGAGCCATCATTCAGTCGTTCTCGTATGTGGGATTCGACGGCCCAATCCGGATGAAAAATCCAGATGAGGACTTTTGGGTCCTGGAAGACTTCGTTTCGGACATTGAGATCGCGACCAGAGCTCCCGGTGCAACACATGCCTACAGTGAGGCCGTGGATCCCAGGACGATCTATCTCGGTCGCTGGATTGCTAACAGTAGTCGCGATATCGTCACTAAATACGACTTGAAGAAGCGTCGGTATATTAGTACGACGTCTATGGATGCCGAGCTGAGTCTGGTCACGGCGAATATGGCCCATGCTGCTCCCGGGAGACTGTTCTATGACCCTTTTGTAGGGACGGGAAGCTTCTGTGTTGCGGCGGCGCATTTTGGCGCCCTGACCTGTGGGTCGGATATTGATCCCCGGAGTTTCAAGGGTAGGGAGAAGAAGGAGAAGGAGGCTATGGGGTTGTTTACCAACTTTCAGCAATATGGCATCGAGAGCAAGTTTATGGATGCGTTTACTTCGGACCTGACGAATACACCGCTGCTGAACCGTCAGTTCTTGGATGGTATTGTCTGTGACCCTCCCTATGGTGTTCGTGAAGGTCTTAGGGTTCTGGGAACTCGAGACGGCAGTGGTCGGGAAGAAGTTATTATCGATGGTGTTCCAGCGCATTAGTACGTCCTTGCTTTGAATGTCCACATTTTGGCCCAGAGTATAACTGACATCCGAACTCTAGTCGACCTGGTTACATTCCCCCTAAGAAACCTTACGGCTTCGAAGCAATGCAGAACGATATCCTCGCCTTTGCGTCCAGGACTCTCGTCACTGAGGGCCGTCTGTGCATGTGGATGCCCACCTCCATTGACGAGGATGTGGAGCTACTTATTCCCATGCATCCACACTTGGAAGTTGTCAGTGTTTCTGTGCAACCGTTCAATCAATGTTAGTAGAGCATCTTGCATCGGAAGATAGATCCTATTAGTATCTCTTGTTAATGGGTTAAACTAGGGTCCCGCCGATTGATCACCTACCGAAGGCTACCAGAAGGCCAGGTCTCAGACATCTCAAAGGCACGACAGAAGGGTGATTCAGAGGGAATCAGCGCTGATGACCTGAACGCGTTCAGGAGAAAGGTATGCCATCCAATTATTCTACCATACACCAAGTAGTATCCTGAAGATCATAACTAACAAGAACCCCTTCAGTACTTCACGAAAAACCCCAACAAGAAACCCGAGAAAGGAAGCCCTGCACCACAACAAAGCTGATATGAAAACGAAATAAAAAAACACAAAGAAGCATATCCATAGAAGAATAAACAAAAAATCATACCATTAAAGCTTCCCCTTCACTCTCCTATCATCATCATCATCAGAAGGTACCTCACACTCCAAATCCACACCCTCCTCCCTAATCTTTAGAACCTCCCTCGCCAACTCTCCCCGTAACAAACCCGCCAACTCCTCTCCCTCATCATCATCCAATTCCTCTCGTTGCCCACGTCCAAACATCACAAAGCTCGCCCTGGCAGCATTAGACGCCGGATTAGAGGACGGCCTAGGAATGATATGAAAATGGGCATGAGGGACCTGTTGCGCGGCCCTGATTCCTGTGGTTTACATTAATATACTTGATCCTAATACATAGATTGACATTAGTAGGAAGCAAGACTGAGCGCATACCGTTATTCTGTACCACATTCCAATTCCAATCGGAGCGGTCATCTTCACCGGAGATTGTCCGCATAACGACGCGCGAGAGGATGGGGAGCCATTGGCCGAGCTGGAGATGATCAGTTAGTTGTCTTATGTTAAGAGAGTTAAAGGTACGACTGGAGAACCATATAGTAAAAAAAAAAAGTGAACTAGATTAGGATAAATACGTACCTCGCGACTGACTTCAACATCTACGTCGCCAATTTTCTCATAATGCGTCCTCGGGATCACTAGTACATGGCCTCGGGTTAAAGGCATGATGTCCAAGAATGCTAGTACATGTTTGGTGGACAGAATCAGATGTGCAGTGGGCTGGGTTGGATCGGATGAATCCGGTAGTGGGATTGGTGAGGTATTTGACTTGGTTGTATTTTGAAAATTGGGACGAGCATTTGCTGGAGTGAAGGCTGTTGGAGGGATGGGCGGATATGTGCTGGCGATGTTACAGAAAGGACATGATGATAGTGTCGACATGGTGGCGTATGTGCGTCCTAAGTAGCTTGTGGGATCAGATTGATGCAGATCTAAAACGATTTAGGTATTTCTTTAAAGGCCATAAGAGAAGACCTAGTTGGGAGAGTGCAAGTGTTGACATGTAATTCAGCCTTAAGTGGTAGTAGAGAGAGAGAGAGCATCTCTCTGGACCTCGGTTCGTGGAGATTGATCGCTATACGGAGTACCTACTTTACCCACCACGGTCACCACCTAGCAACTAATCCTAACAACAGCAAATGGTAAAGGTCTTTGAAAAGCTGAAGAAGCCAGCAGCTCCATTGTGAATTAAACTCCCTAAACACACATTACGATGACCCTCCTCTCCCCCCTCTATCCCATTTATCGCCACTGAAACACGAGACAAACTAAAGATAACTCCAAAAAGACGGTTTCCTTCCTTCCTTTCAGGGGGTTTTTTTTTTCTTCCCTTCCATCCGAGACATCATGTGCCCCGTAACCTGAGGCCTTAGAAATGCAGCAGCATTTACATCGTCACCTCCGTTCTCCGAGGAAGATGACGCAGAGAACGTGCCGGCAGAAGAAGACAAGTGTGGAACCAAAAAAGAATTGCAGATACATTGCCGACCCTGGGCATCCGACGCCTGTAATACAAACAGGGGGAGAAGGAGAATGTTAAGGTATCAGAGGAAGTGAAGTGTGAAGAATCCCAGAGACACTGCCAAATCGAAGAAAGCAAAGATGGAAAAGCAAAAGAAGAGCTTGAAAAAAGAGCGCCCGACGCCCCAGTAGAAGTGAATAATGCAAACATCCGCAGCTGAAACAGAAAAATGCCGTCGTAAACATATGCAAGAGGTGTCCTATACCATCACAACCGAAGAAATGCCATATATGGAATCAACCAACTCTTCCCCTCACACCCGTCCCGCCAAGGAGCGAGATATTGGCCCATCATATTTATTCGTGATCCTTGATATAGTTGTACGGTTCTGAGAGGGAGCTGTCGATGTACAGGTGGTGATACTTCTTGGCCCATTGGCGGGTCAAGATGGACGCTATGGAACATGTCAGGAGCTGCGAACACGGAGAGACAAACTATGTGCTTACCTTTGAGGAACTTCTTGCTGGCATATTTCTTGAAGAACGCCTCGTGGCAGACCGGGCGGTGAAGGTAGTCGATCATGAGACGGAAGACTGGGTCGATCTGCTCTTCGTCATATCCAGCGTAATAAGCCAGAGTGGCATCCTACATCCCGTTAGCAATTTCCAGTGTTCCTTCCCGGAGTAATAACAACAACATACCCAAGGCCCACGCTCCAGAATGAGACGGGCCAGATACATGGCGGCAGCTGACACGTGACTTTGACGGTAAGCCATGAATCGGTGATCTAGTAGACTGATTTCCATAAGGTACTTTCCAAGGGTACGCGTTTGGATATCATAGTTGTCCGCCTTGGAGATACGACGAAGGAAGTTCATCGGGTTGGGATAGCTCATGTTGTACTCGAGAGTCGCCAGAATGTGACGCTCAGCGTCCAAAATCTCCTTGTCGGTGAAAGTCTCGTCGGCGACGTGACTGAAATTGGCCACATGCGGCGAGAGGACCTCCTCATACTTAGACGCGATGAACATAGCGGCAACTCCAACGAGCTGCAGGCGATCCAGAGCCACCACCTCGGCCGACAGGAAACGATCGATGATGTTGACAGCGAGGAAAAGGGTTTCAGGCAAGAGGCGGAAACGGGTGTGAACTTCAATGAGCCAGTCAACAAGGATACCACGCATCTTCCACTCCAGATCAGGTTGATGGTCGATGTAGTGTGGGTTGGGTAGTGTCTCCAGTTCAAGGTCCTTCATGTATTCGAAGATCTCCACCACATATTCTGCTACCATCAAGGGGTCGTCCAAATCTTCAGTATCCAAATCCTCCACGAGATCTTGAGCGGGCTTCTGCAGGGTCGTTGGCTCAACAGCGGCTTCGACATTTTCCTTGGCGGGAGCCTTTTCAGTGACAAGTTTCTTCTCGGTAAGCTTCTTTTCCACCTCCACCTTCTTGCGGGGTGGCTCCTCGATCAACACATTGTCTTGCGTGGTTTTTTGGCGCTTCTGTGCACTATCCTTGATAGATCCAGGTCCCGAGCGCTTTTCCTTGTCCTCTGTAGGCTTCTTGGTGTTGGTGGTCTTGTTTGTCAGGGCAGTAGTACGCGACGAGTTGGTGCGGGTGAGCTTCGCAACGCCACCAGCCTGCATTGTAGCTTTCGATGTCAAGCCGACCTTGGCCCCGGCGGGCTTCTTTCCCTCCTTCGCGCCGCCGTTCTCACCCTTGGTGACATTGCTTACATCGCCCAGAGCAGCGCGCCTCCTTGTGGTACCAGTGGTCGTGGTCGAGGTAGCGGCTTTCTTGGTCTCAAGAGGTTTCTTAGCGGCAGCAGTGGGGGCGTCACCCGCGGAAAGAGCCGCAGCCTTAGCCCGTGTCAGACGCGTCGAAGGTCTGTTCTCATCATTCTCGTTCATGGTGCTCCGTGTACGGAGGCTGCGAGCCTGCTGCGGTGGATGTTAGAAGACCTTGTAATGGACAGAAGCAAGTAATGATCGGTGGGAGGTGAGGGTCTGGCAAGAGTCAACGCGTCATAGGAGTTGTGAAAAGCTTACCGTAGGCATTGTGAGGGAAAAGAAAGGCGAAAAGGATGTCCAAAGGTGAAGAAAATATAAAAGGGTTGATTATGGTTACTGCAGTTCCTTTCCTTGTCGTCTAGTCAGCATTCCAATGAAGAAGTTACCTTGGTGAGTGGAGCTCGAAATACCAACGGCCTGGGGAACCACTCAGCACGTACAACGCGTGAATACTTGACTAACCTTAGCAACGGGTGATAATGCAAGTTGTCAGGAGTAGGATTAGGGGGTATTTGAACAGAATTCGGCGTGAATAAGTCTTAAAATAGGGACATATATGACTTTTGTTGATGCTGTTGATAGGTGATCCGGATCACGTTAATTGCAACGGCGCGCTCCTCCAGATTAAGATCTGTACAGTAGAAGATATAGACCAAGAAACAAAGATAGTTATGGTCGATGACGCGAGGAATGCAAGTTTATGTGAGGTTTTTTGGTTCCTCCCCTAAAAGTCAGGTTCCCCGTCGAGGAGGTGTTTGATGGGGTGGTTGGCAGAGAGAGAGGTGGTAAACTTGACAGGGCAAAGAGGATGTTTGGCCCTACTCTTAGCGTGGAAATCAGAAAAAAGATGCCCCACAGCACCACCAAGCCAGTCGAGTCGCGTGGAATGGTGGATTATCAAACCAAAAGCCGATATCCTGTACAGCGTAACGTAATTAAATGGTGATTATATGCAGATGCCAGCAAAACGGTCGATTTGCTGTTCTCCAAAAAAGTATTATGAAAAGGTATGTACGTGACGAAAAAAGTGGAGAGACGCGGGAAGAAAGGGAAAGGGAAGAGTACTTTCTTTGGAAAGGAGGAGGAGGAGGAGGAGGTAAGAGAGAGTTCGAAGGGAAAGATGCAGAAAGGGGGATGCAGGCGTAATAACTACTACGAGACAACTACTACTGAGGTCATGCAAGTTCTGTTCCAAAGAACTTATAGCACGGTATGCGTATGTATTCAGACGATGACTTGAACAACGGTTGACCGTGAATTACACCAAAAATAGGTGGTAACGATACGGTCACGACTGGAAAGTATCGCTGGCCGCGGTGGAGGGAGCAGATCGTCATCCATGGTCGATGCCTGAGCTCGGCCAGGCAAGAAGACGCCATCGCGAGCAAAACGTGAGGCGGCGCGGCCACGACTCCCCAAACATTGCGCCGTTGCCCGGCAACCACGCCCTTTTCTTCGCTTTTGTGTTATCTCGCCCGACGTGTTACCCGTGTCGCGGCATCCCGTGACTCGCTCTTCCTGAGCCACAGCTGAGCGTGTAGTGGCGGTGCATTCCCAGTCACGTGTAGCATCATAAGCCACAAGGGCGACCCAAGACCGAAAGACAATTTTGCTCCGCAACGCAAGAGTCGGCCGACGACCTCTCATCACCGGCCATTGACAGCGCTCCGACTGGCCTTTGGGTGGTGTCCGAGTCAATTTGCTACCGGTCTTTTAATCTTAACGTTTTTGTCCAAGCAGGCATGTGTAAGCAGTAATCTGTTGGCACATTTGCATACACTGTTACGAAGGCTTGCGGTCCTACTTGGAACACTCTCCGCCGAATCAATTCTGGGGGTTGCCGTCTAATTTTCTCCCTAAATACTCCCCTACCTCATCATGCTTCAGCCTCGATTGGCCTTGACGGGCCTTCGTCTTCCGTTCAGATGCCTGCCTTCGGTATCTTCTAGATCCTACTCAAGTGTCGTTCACGAAAAAGAGACTCCCCCGACAGAGTCATCGACGTCAACTTTCGACCCAAGCATTGCCTTTGCTCCGCCTCCTACACGAGATGATGCAGGCGTTCAAATTCGATCGTATAAACCGAGGACTCCTGGTATCCGGCATTTGCGGAGGCCGATCAACGATCACCTTTGGAAAGGACGACCAGTACAGAAGTTGACGTTTCCCAAGCGAGGACAAAGTAAGGGTGGTCGTAACAACACTGGTAGGGTAACCATCCGGCATCGTGGTGGTGGTCACAAACGCCGTATCCGAATTGTCGATTTTGCACGAGCCGCTCCTGGTCCTCATTTGGTGGAACGAATTGAACATGACCCTGGCCGAAGCGCTCACATCGCGTTGGTCCGCAGTCAAGAGACCCAGCGCCTGAGCTACATTCTGGCCGCGGAGGGAATGAGAGCTGGTGATGTTGTTCAGAGTTATATGTCCGGTATCCCGGAAGACCTGTGGAAAAGTATGGGAGGTGTCGTGGATCCTGGTGTGCTCGCCGCAAGGACTGCTTGGAGAGGAAACTGCTTGCCATTACACATGATTCCCGTTGGTACATTGATATTCAATGTCGGCTTGCGGCCGAATAAGGGAGGGCAGCTCTGCCGTAGCGCCGGTACTTTTGCAACCGTTATTGCCAAAGGCAGCAATACTCAAGCTGCACAGAACGAGCAGGCTCAAGAAGATGGCGCCGAGGAGAAGAAACCCTTGTCCCAGCGCGAACAGCAGAAGCAGGAACGGATTGCGCAGCATATCACCATTCGTCTCCAGAGTGGTGAAGTCCGCTTGATTCATAAGGATTGCTGCGCCACCGTTGGCGTTGCCAGCAACCCGAACTACCAGTACAGCCAGCTCGGAAAGGCCGGTCGATCGCGCTGGCTGAACATTCGTCCTACTGTCCGTGGTCTTGCCATGAACGCCATGGACCATCCCCATGGTGGTGGACGAGGAAAGTCCAAGGGTAATGTTGATCCGAAGAGTCCTTGGGGTCTACCGGTATGTGTTCTACTCTTGATACTATTAATATCTGCGTTCGATTCACGTGGAATTGACGTTTTCTGTCTAGGCGAAATCCGGTTATAAGACTCGTCCCAAGTGGAAGGTCAACAAGGCTGTGGTTGTTCCCAGAGTCCGTAACCAGGGCAAGCGTCGTAGAGGATACAGCTAAACGTATCCCATTGTCCTTCTTTCGTCTCTTCCTCTTCCCCTTTACGAAAGTGCGACTATGCTTCCTTTGCGAATAGTGTCCACGGAGGCTCGATTGTTCCTTTTTACAGCCCAGTCACTATCGCTTTCATGATGTCTGTCCGGATACCTTTTCTCATTGTACTTGCTTTCGTTGGGACTGCATGGAGATGACAGGTTCGTTCATCTTGTACTATACATCAGCTTTAGATTGGCCGTAGGGTGTATGATCTTGAATGCTCTGGGGAGCTCTGCATGTCTCTCTTGCTGTTCGGCTTTTGCGATCATGTTTTCTCCAATGCTGCTCGCTTGTCCTATACCGCGGCGTTGATTTTTTGTATTATATGCATTCAGTATCTAGATCCAATATGGAATATGGAAAGAGGTTTCTGTTTTAATAAATGGTATATATGAATTGAGGTGATAGCGATTCTCTGCCCTACTCTAAGTTCAGGGTCAAAGTGCTCCGTCGGGATCCACGGGACATGCGAGCTCTGATAGGTGCGGCGAAGACTACGTAAGCCGGAGATGCCTGGACTCTTCCAGAAAGAGTAACGACTAGAGGACGCCCGTACTTATCGTCCTAAGACTACTAGTAGTACTACCGATACCAACTCCGATATGCAAATGACGTCCTAAGCTCGCTGATACACTACTCATAAATCCCATTTTCTCCCCTGTACCAAAAGTGATGCGGCCGGTTTGATCCCCGGGTACAACAATCCCTTCAAATCTGCGAGTCTTGGTGGCGCTGGATTCGACCAACACCAAATCATTCTGATCCAGATCAAGTAGTTCTATCTAAAGAGCTATTCCCCAGGTTATGGGTCTGGAACGTCTCTGATACCTCTATGAGCTATAATTTTCTCGTCGCCCAATGCTCCTGGCGCTGCCTGTCTTTAATAGTTCCGTTATTGGGATCTCGTACCTCCTATCTGCCGACGGGTATCCAACCTCTACTTAAAAATCGCAATCTGAACTGAAGTCATTATTCGGTCTACTTCCTTCGCAGTCCATCGTGTCGTCCACAGACCATGGCGGACTCCCTCGACGGACATTTCTTTCATCCAACTACCCAAAACTCCTCAACTCAGTCACTACATACTTCGATGAATCACGATACCGCATCGGCTCATGCAGAGCACGTCGATCCAGATAGCTCCTACGTTCCCCGCCCGAAGCGCATTGCATGCGTCGTCTGCCGGCGAAGAAAATTAAGATGCGACGGGAGGAAACCAAGTTGTGGCACTTGTTCCAGGTTGGGACACGAATGTGCTTACGATGAAGTGCGCAAGAAAAGTGGCCCAAAGAGGGGTTATGTGAAGCAGCTGGAGGCGCGGCTAGGTATGTGATAGATGACCATACTCTGACCATGCGTTTGTTTATACTGTTTCGGTGCTAATGCTGTCCCTCACCAGCCCAAGTCGAAACCTTACTGAAGACCCAGGAGGTGAACCCCTCCCACAACGGCCAAGGAAATGGCGCCAACATCGCAGCACCGAAAGAGTTCGTCGGCATCCCGGAGGCGGTCCCGTTCACAAACAGTATTGATGCCCCTATGTCATCCCCCGAAGGCGAAATCAACAATATCCAATCAAGCCAGACATTCTTAACACCGGGATTGGATCGCACGGGTAATTTTGGGTGGGACATGATTAGTTTGGGACTGGAGGAACCTCTACCTGACCGAGAAATCATTGAGGAACTGTACGTATTGAACTTGGCCTTAAACTCAAGCATCTTGAGCTATGCTGATTATATCATGACAGAAACCAGATATACTTTGAGAAAATTCATCCTTATATGCCAATTTTACACCGTCCCAGACACTTGGCAGCCATGGATCTAGCTCCAAGCGTACGACCCCCCGTGTGTCTGCAATACATCACCTGGTGCCAAGCCGCGTCTGTTAGCGAGAAATATTCAAATTTACATGCGCTTTTCTACCAGCGGGCCCGCAAGTACGCAGAATTGGACGAAATGAAAGGATTGGGAGAGAATATCTTGTCTTTGCCATACTGCCAAACTTGGTTGCTCATCGGCACGTATGAATTCAGAATGATGTTCTTCCCCCGGGCATGGCTCAGTGTTGGTAAAGCAGCAAGGTTAGCACTTATGCTCGGCCTGAATCGATTGGATGGTATGGGTCTCGAGGTAAAACAGTCATTACCGCCAGCAAGAGATTGGACAGAGAAGGAAGAACGACGGAGGGCGTTCTGGATGGCTTTCTGTATCGATCGGTTTGCAAGCGTCGGGACCGGGTGGCCAGTTCTCATCGATGAGAGAGATGTCAGTGATGCCTCTACCTATATCCTTGCCTGGCCTTTTCTTTTTCTTTTCTTTTTCTTTCCCCCCCCCTTTTTTTTTTTCTTTTAGTTCAATGGCTGATCCTGTCTGAGTAGGTCAAGACGAACCTACCTGCTACCGAAGAAGCATTCGTCAAGAGCAAACCGCAGAGGACTCTACGCGTTGAGGACATTCTGGCGGGTGATGGACTCTCCACCTTGTCGTCTTTCGGGAGTGTTTCTTTCATGGCATACATGTTCGGACGGAACCTCTCACACCTGCATCGTCCTGATCCTCAAGACAACGACCATGACTTGAATGGGCTGTACTGGCAGCGGCACAGATCGCACGATAACGTACTATTGCATTTTGCCCTAGCTATGCCCAACCATCTCCGACTACCAGCTGGAATGTCTGATCCCAATGTCATCTTCTGTAACATGGCGATCCATACTTCCACGATATGCCTTCATCAAGCCGCTATCTTCAAGGCCGAGAAAAACCGGATGCCCGAGCAGATTATCACTGAAAGTAAACGAAGGTGCATTGTTGCTGCTGATCAAATCTCCAATATTATGAAGATGATCAGCCACATGGACTTAACGGCTGTAAGTCTGAGGATACCATTGTCTCATCAATTTACTATTGTCATAGACTGACCGATTCTAGTTAAATCCTTTCATGTCATACTCTGTCTATGTTGCTGCGCGCGTATTCGTACAGTATCTTAAATCTCGCCCGGACGACTCAGCTGCTCGTTCCTCTCTCGGATTCGTCTTCGCCGCACTCGATGCCATGAAGAACAAGAACCCCTTGACTGAATCTTTTCTTGTTCAGTTGGACGTCGATATCGAAGGTACTCCATTCCGAGACATTCGACAAGCAAAACGGCCTCGTATCTCAAACAATGTGCAAAAAAAGGTAAGCCTCCGCACCGAATGATCTCCTTATATCATGATTCCTAATGATCAACAGGGTCGCGGCTGTACACCACTCGTACCATTGGACCAACACCAAAAGCAACAAACCGTAATTGAAGAAGGGCCCGCCAGGTTATCAGCTGCCTCACAGCAACACTACTACACGCCCTCGTCTCTACCCTCTCGTGAAGAACAGAGTCTTCCACAACTACAGAACAGGAACCCTCCTGGTTCAGATCCTTTCGCAAAATCGCCGTTTAATCTCAGCTCGGGAACTGAGTCTGGGCCAGGAACTGACAAAGGACTTTCACCCGAGTTCACCGACAAAAGTTCAAATAATAGTCCAGTATCAAACGATACATCAATACTAAACCCGACTAACATACACGACCCGTCTTCCTCCACCTACATGCCCCTGGATCAGTCCTCATCTCTAAAGCAGCAGGCATCAACCTCATCATCTCTCAATCAAACCAACCATCAGCAATCACATACCGCTCTCGACAATAGTAGCGCAGTAAACATGAATATGGGTACTAACCCATTTGGCGCATTTGATATCGCCTTTTCTTCCCAGTTATATCCAACGGGCATGGTGACTCCCCTCGACTCTACCGGTTCGGAAGGGTCTATTACCATGCCTACGTGGGATTTTGGCGCGCCCCAAACGTCGAACGGTGAAAATGTCGACATGATCACTACCGGCATGGAATCACTAGAAGCACAGTGGGCGCAATTACTAGGTTCAGGTCCTGGTACAGGCACAGGTGCAGGTACAGGTTGGGACTCATGGCGAAATCAAGTATAGGCTAGACTAAATTGCTGGTTTGCAACCTTTTTTTTTGTGTATACTTCTCAATACCCCAATTTGGAGCGCGGCGCTTTATTATACGAAAGTCATGTGGAACAATATAAAGATATATTCATTAGCTTAAACCATGCGAGGCCAATACCAGTTAAACAATACTCCCGAAACGAACACAATTAGATATCCCACTGCTCGTAAAGATGTTGAGCAAGAATAAGCAAGTAACAAAGGGTGAAAGGCAAGGAAAGAAAAGAGAGAAAAAGAATACTGGCTAAAGGATAAGAGAAAAGCTAGCGAGTGTGAGCTTAGCACTGGTTAGGGAACTCCCTGTCCTCAGGAGAAGTAGGGAAGACACCAGCTTCAAGCAGGTCACTCATATCCCAGCCAGGGGCACCCTCAGTCTTCCAGGTCCAGAACACCCAGCCGCTCTTGAGTTCAAAGGCGTCCAGCTGGGCCTCGATGAAGCGGCGCATGTCCGACCGCTCTTCCTCAGAGAGGTTGGCCACAGTACCAGTAGCCAGGGTGGAGCAATCGCCAATAGCCTTATCAGCGGCGTAGGAGCCATCATAGCGAGCGCCGTTGCCCTTACCATTGAGGTACCTGGTACAGTCGGTCACAGCACCAGTCCACTCTCCCACAATAACAGGCTTGTCAGATGCTTCCAGGTGCTGGTGAGCAAACTGGCAGACGGCATTGACATGGCCGTCGATGTCCATGGCGATGAGTCCGTTATCAAACATATGGTAGTGGTGTGTGTCCATCACAACCTTGCTGCCCTCAGTTTTGTAGCCGTTCCAGCTCTCTACGGACAGGAAACCATCTCCATATACCACAGATGTGTCAGCGTTGTACTTGTTGACGATACCATAGACGGAACCGTAGTACTCTTGCAGCTTGCCCTGCTCTACTCCACCAGGAACGTTGGGCTCGTTGATAGCTTCGATGGCAGCCACGGTGTCGGAGCCAAGGTACCGCTCGGCCAATATATCGAAGGCATCAAGGGTCTGCTGAACAGTGTCCCCTTGCTGCCATTGGATGGCTCCTCTCCGACCGCTGTTGTCGAATCCATTTTGAGATCCGGGTGCTGGTCAGGTTATTAGCCATGCTTATACAGCCTTGTTTTGATCTTGAGCCCAATGGACACTTACCACCGTGTAGGTCGACCAGAACTTTGAGGCCTGCCGCGCCGGCCCATTCTACCGCTTTGTCAAGGTACTCCAGCTGACCATCAACGTAAGGGTCTCCCTCAAGGGGGCCAAGAGCCCAATAGCCGATGGGGATTCGGACGTGGTTCAGTCCGGCAGCAGCCATGTTCTGGAAATCGCCAGAGGAGACGAAAGACTCCCAGTGAGCAGACAAGCGGGCTTTAGCCTCATCCTTGCCCAGAATCTGAGTCAGGGACCACTCGTCGACGGCCTCGGCACCAGCTTCATCGAAAATTGAAGGTGTAATCCAAGGCTCAAGCACAAGCCATCCACCAAGGTTGACGCCACGGACTTTTTCGCTACTGTAATCGAAAGAACTTGCGCGAGGGTCTAGGCGACTGCTCTAACGGTAAGGGACTATGCATAGTAAAGGGGGGTAATATCACAGTTATACTGACATAGTTGCAGCTTGTGTGCCAGCTGACAACAGACCAAGGACTAGAAGCGCCTTGTTCGAAAGTCTAATGAACATTTTTTCTTGAACACTGTTGATCTCTGATGCTGATCTTTAGGAATAAAATAGGAGGCTGGGATTGAAGGCTGAGAGATTGTTTGCTTTGGTGAGATGTAGCGTCAGTTGGAATGGAAATCACTTGCTTTAAGTAAGGAGTGCTCACAAGCTGGTTTTTGACCTCTGGACGCAACCAACAGATGACCGTAACCAAACACAGATTTTGGAACAAAGTCTAGACTCGCCACTGCTTTCGGGTAATGTCGATCCTAGATCTGATCGAGCATCTAGAGATGGATCCGCGCAGTGGCGTTTGTGACAGCTCCGAACACAGGAGGTAAGAATAGAATAACAATATGATAGCATGCACTAACACAACAACAATAGCTTTCTTCTCCCGGTCCTCCATCTAGGAACGTCGTGGGCACAATCGCGCCACTGTCTCAGAACGACGCCTCTATCGAGGGATCCGTTTGACGGAATCCGGGGAGGACCCATGGAATATCAGGAGCATAGGGTCATGTTGACGAGCGCGGAGTTGTTGAGCGCTATGTGGAGTCATAGATGATGGCGAACCCCATATTTGCGGTGAACAATAGTTTCCATGGGTCCATGGGGGGAATCTTTGGTATCGGATCCGGGGAAGAGCGACCCATATTAGGGTTTGTCGTCCAGGGACCCATCAGCCACCGGGTACCTGATCGGGTGTACACAGCCGTCGCCGCTAGCATCTTCACCTCCTTCAAAGTGGATTTGGGAGTATAGAATCACTCTGGTTGGGTCCATTGCCTGGTATGCATTGAGGCTCTTTCCAAAAGGGTGAGTTGTCATCTCGTAAAGCGCGCAGCCCTTTGTGGGACAGTGGGACCAGATATCGGGATCTTTTGGTACATGATGCCTGCAGTCGCGCTTACTCTTGTCAAGTACTGCATTCGGATGGAACGAAGACAGATTCTCAAAACAACAGAGGATTAAATATGGGGTTGAGCTTGAGGGTTACGAATCACTGCCGGATTCGGAAAACGTCACGTGGTCCCTAGGCACATGCATTCTCCATGACCAACGCCAACCCTACTTTGATATTGCTTTGGTATTATTTTGATCTGGCTCATTATCAACAAATGAATTGCTGTTCAACATGGCAGAGCGAGTTCATCTACATTCCACAATGAATTCCTGTTGTCAATACCTCCTACCTTATAGGCACTACCAGTTGAAAGGCCAAGGATTGTCATTACCTTGACATCCCATCCTTGGTCCCCCAATGTCGAGGAAGACCTTGCTGTTCTCGAAACACCTTTTCTGCACCCAAATGGGCGTTGAAAATTGCGCTTCCCACTCCATATCGTTCCTGTCGGGTCTGTCGAAGTATTTGAAACTCCAAGATGTCAGACCGCCTCCAACACATTTTTTCGCACTATTGCGGAGTTCTTGCCCATGATCAAGACTAGCCCACAATCTCCCCCTAATAGTATATCTTGCAAAAACTACTTTATACCATCCCTCGCATGAGCCTTCAGGTCTTGCAACCGGCCAGGGGCGCCTTATGTGGCCTATCTTCAGTTCATATGTGTATCTCCCCTTTTTCCAACTTCCCCCGTGCTTGAGATTTAGGGGGTTTTCCGGACGATATATGTCACATCCGTGAATAATTCGCATGAAGCTGTTGAGGCATTCTTGTTTGCTGAACTGCGTAGCTCCCTTTGTGAGGCTTATAGAGTACTTGTGCTCTTCCGGGGTACCCTTGTAGAAAACGCGCTCGTCCTGCCAGTTCGCATGTTCGGGCGGTTGCACTTCGTTACAGTATGTCTGGTAGGTCTCATCCGCCAGGTGGCTTTGGACATAATGACTGAGTGTGTCGCCCTTGTTTCCCCTGCAATGGAAGTGGTCGCGGTCCTCATCCTTGCAAAGCGGGTTTTCCACCTCCAAGATTGATGCCCGTGCGGAGATGACTTCGTTGAGAACGAACGATGCAATCGTGAGGTGGCCTCTCTCATTAGGGTGAAACCACTTCCCCCATCGATTTGGGAGTTCAGATCCCCAAGAGCGCTTGTCGAGAAATGCCGTGCACCCGTGGTCATCCCTAGGATCTGGGTCCCCACCGTTGAGCATGTGTATAGCTTCCGCCGCGGGGTTCGGGCTATTATAGCGGCTTCCGTTGACCCCATAGCTGACCTCAGGCTCCAGTTGGCCTTTATCCACAGCTGTGTTCCTCTTTTTGACCTCATCATGCAAAGATTTCTTTTTCGTGTCTGGCTTGAAGAACTGCAAATTAGGCTGTTCGGGGTCGGGGTATTCCCCGGTAGACCCAGGCCAGCAAAACTGCCCAGCAACCCGTTCATCAGAGGCCCAGTCGTCCCAATTTGCGAAGCGTAGCCTGTACTTCACACCCCTCTCTCTCATCTTGTCGATGGATCTCTCAATCCCGGCGTTGGTGATCCGGACCAATTCATTATATTCTTTTCGTCTCTGTAAGTCCACCGGCAAACTGTTGAACGGACCCCCGATAGCCGGGAAAGCCCAGTTGTTATATTTTGCGCAGTCATCCGATGCCGTTTCGATATCATGGAAGAACTGAGCGTAGCTGACGAAGACCACAATGCCGGTGTTTGGTTTCATGTGCTTTTCAAGCTCAACGAGGATCGATTCGAGGGCTGGCTCTAGAACGTATTCTGCGTTGAGCTTTGCTCTCTCGATAGCTGAATCACAACTCTTCTTATTGTAAGCCAGAAAGATGCAGTCTTTCAGAACATCAATCTAGCAAGTTTCATGTTAGTTTCGCCGTACTTCAGCAACTTATAAGCAATGTCAGGCTGTCCTCACCAAGCATAGGTCGTTCCCTCCCGCGGTCAGAACCACCAAATCCATATCAGTGTCCAGTTTCTTGGCTTGCTCAAGGATTTCTTTTGACTTGGCACCACTACAGGCCAGCCATTGAAATTTGAGTGCGGATACTCCAAGGACACGCTCGAGCATTACGACATACGATTGATCGTATCGAGAACATTTGCGAGCTTCTGGGCTCGTATCCCACAGCCGACCAGCTCCAATCCCAGCAGTAAAACTGTCACCAATAGCACCCCATTTGTTGATCCAGTGCATGCCGGCGGGGTCTTTTCTTGGGTCTCCACGGGCAAAGTTCTCGCCCCGAGGGTTGATCGTATAGTCGAGGCTCTGGCTCGCATTACCACGGAGGGCGCAGCCGCCGAAGGGTCCCATCAGCAGTGACAGTGCTAGCAGGAGCATGGCAAAAGCTGCCATTATGAGGGAGATCTGATTCTGATGATGTTAAGACAAGGGGGATACCTTTCATCAAAGAGGGATAATCTGGGTTTGAGGATACGCTCCATAAAATGTGAATGGAGAGGAAGGGAAGGCTTTCTCATAGCAAATATAAAGATTTATATACTTTGGCCCATTGAACATGAGTGAATACCAGTGTATACAAGTGGCAGGGACTTGCACCTTAATGATTTCCTTTTCCATTATGCCGTGGATTAAAGAGCTTAAGATGGTGAATAGTGTAGCTATAAATATCTTACCCCGCTGAACTGCACACCGTTTTACAGCTCCTAAGTATAGACTAGAGCCTGGCGTTTGCCACATCGACATGCACTATATCGCTCTTTGTTTAAAACCATTGTGAGATGATGCACCGCGGCATAGAGGAGAGTGCACTGGATAGTTATGCATTTGAACAAGATGCACTTGTAGGGTATACATTTTACATGGAGCCCATGGTTCTGAGGTAGGGAAATATTCGCCTTGAGTACAGAGCTTCTTTATTATGGAAATGAGTGTTTAGACAATATCATGTTAAACATAGTACTTCGAACCCCATATCAAGAGACTAGGAAGCGCAAAGGTAAAGCAGAATATCTACCCCTTCTTCGATATTCCCTTCTTCGATATTCCCTTCTTTGATTTTTCCTTCTTCGGGTTGGATCCAAGCCAAGTCTTGTTTGACCCCTTTGGCCAATTTTTACTGAAGCAAGGCATTGGTTTGTACTTGCCATCACTAGTCCATTGTTTCTTCTTACCCGACGCCTTCCCCAATGCTTCAACGAGGGTGCCATCATCCAGGTCAACTGCCCAAACCATGGTCCCTCCCAAACAACGCCTGTTGGCAAAGTCGATCTTGAGCTTCAAGGTTTGGACATCATCCCAGCTAACCCACTGATTGGTATTCCACGTAGCAACCTTCACCGCGGCATCTTTATAGAAGGTAACAGTAGCACCCTTCCTGAGTATGTCGTGAATCTCTGCTGCCGAAATAACCCCGGGAACATGGGTGCAATCTCCGGCAGGAGCCTCTCCCTCCTTAAAGACGCAACCAGGTGCCATGCAATTAGGGTCTGCCATGGTGAAGCTACGGCCGTAGAAACCTAGTCCCATCACAACCCGGGCGGGATTGATGTTGTTGCGCCAGAGAAGCTCAAGGCCCAAATTTATCTCGGTCAGATTGGTATGGGCAAGCGCATGCGGTCCAACCTCCTTCCCATGTGCGTCCCAAAGGCCGTCTAAGAAGAAAGAGCAATTATAGCATGAGCATATGAGAAGAATGTCGGGAGAATATCCCCAAAGCTCGGAGCACTCACGTATATCATAGGTCATGACGTTAAACCAATCGACGTATGGTTCCAAGTTCACAATGTCAAATCCTTGAAGATACCAGTAGCTAGCCGGCTGTATCGGACAAGAGGTTAGCATTTTACCGTTCAAGGACTTGTAACGAGCCAAACACGACTTACCAAGGTTATGGTGAGCCCAAAGTGTCGCGGCAATTGATCCAGCCGCTCTCTTAATCGTTTCACTAGAGTGACATAGTTGGCATAGTCCTCTGGTCTACCGCCTCGATCGTCTGCGGTAGGATATTCCCAGTCGATATCAACGCCGTCGAAGTCATTTTGAAGCATGAAACTAACCAATGACTCAAAGAAAGCATCTTGTGCCGATTGTGAGCCAGCAAGGTCCGAAAACGTAGTCCTAGTGGGACCCGGATCGTTGAAGTCCCAACCTCCAATGGCAATATATACCTCAAGACCATTTTGACGACCCTTCAGCTCTGTGAGGGCTCGGTAGCGCTTCGCAGTTGCATCTGTCATAGGAGCCATCCGGAAAGTCTTGGGGTCAATCAGGGCAAAAGCAAAATTCAGGTGGGAGTATATTCCTAAAGGGATATCCTTGGGTTCCACCTCTGGAGCGGGCAATCGGGCCTGATCAGTAAAAGATATGGAGCTAGGAGTAGAAAGAACTTACGTCCACACGTTCTTCTCTCGGGATTCCATGCTTCGTAGTATCCGATAGTCTTTGCCTTCGAGCTTTTCCCTCTACATTCGGGAGATACTACCTGTTTGTCACCACAAAACTCTTTCATGGTTCCTGAAGTATTATTCCATTAGCCACAGCGGATCATTAGACAGGATCAAGGGAAGAGGAAATTTCTCACCGCAGAAGCCATGCTTACTACAGCACACTTTCAGCGGGCAAGTAGACGTATTAGACCATTCTTTACCCCAGCCTGCATCGCATTCACTCTTTCGGTCACAATTAGAGGTACACTTTGATCCGCAAAACTCAGGTCCAAAGCCACAGGAGCCTGTACCAGTCGAGTCTCTGGGAGTATTGATCAGCACTTGCTATGATTTCTAAACGTAACAATATCATGGCTCTTACATTGGCCCACAACAACCCAACCGGCAAGGCTTTGACTTGGAGCAAGTCGTATCATCGTTGGGGAGAGGCAGGAGCTGTAAGCTTGAGAAATGGGACGCCAACGTTTCGACCACGATCTGGCAGAGGAATAAGAAGAAAAGGCCGGCGGTTGCTCCTTTGAGTAGCATTATGACAGAATGAAAAAGAACTAACTTAAGGGTTTTGTTTTGAATATATTTGAGAACCTGCTTTTAAAAATCAAGCAGTGTCTCACTGTGGGAGGGTAGAGAACTGTTTAAATACTCAGCTTTGCGCAATCATGACTACTTCTAGATGGCGTTAACCTGCATTACCTTCCAGATGTCTTATTCACTTTCTTAGAAATCTAGCATTCACTTGGTCACAGCACTACAACCGGTAAAGTCAAAGGTGGTGGCAGATACCTATGTTTGATCACTATTTAAGGAATACTGCTGCTGTACTCCTCGTCTCCCTTCTTCGCCCATAAAAACTCATGCTGAAATATTTGACTAACGAAACTGCTTGCCATTGTTCTGTATCAGACAAATGACCCATAACTTCCCTAAGAGTATTCGTTCCTTGCGTTGGGTAAGCTGGCATTCCTCCCCCAGGCTCCCAGGATGTATTAACACTGTGTGACAGCTCTCTATGGGAATCATAGCTACTGGATTCGTCATGAAGCTCTTTTTTCTTCTCTCGTTGCTCTTTGCATCTCTTAGCAACGCCGGCCACTCAGCCTGGGAGGCAGGCGCTACAACTTTCACATCTGAATGGATCCACATAGATCCGTCTTTTGACTTCCCCACCTGGCCTCATGAGACCATCCGCTATTACTTCAACACCCCTCAAATGAAGACGGAATTTGCAAATGATATAAGGGCCGCATGGCAACTCTGGTACGCTGCAGGCTTACCAGAGACCTTCAGATTTATCGAGTATTCAAGGACCCGGTGCGAGGCAGCGCCCGACGATTGTTTGCTTATAATTGCAGAGTATGGGGCACCGTCATTTTTCACCAGCCTTGGAAGGCAGCGCATCGACCCCTGGGATAGGAACGTCATGTACTTAGCCTTCGAAGGAACTGAAGACGAACACGACAAAGCCTTGATAATTGCTCACGAGATCGGACATGCCTGGGGTCTCCTGCATGAACATCAAAACCCCTTGTTTTGGCAGTGGGCCTTTCGGGGGACCCGATCTGATTCATTAGTCCAGTTCTATTGCGAGAATGTGCTGGGTTTTGATGAGGTAGAGCATGAGTTCAACAATACTCTGTTACTCTGGGCCGAGGACGGTCCCTGTCGCGATCAGGCTCGGGCTTATGAATTTGGTTTCCTGGCTTCCGAAATGATTCCCTGGGGGCCGCGATATCAACAACCACATCGCTTGTGGCCTCATGATTATGACGTGGATTGGGATTCTATCATGATTTACGAATCCCACTCTTTTGGAGCTGATGATGAGCATGGCAACAAGCAGCTTACTCTAGTACGAACGAAGGACCTTCAGGTTATCCCAGAGCCTGGCACTGTTACTGAACTAGACGTGTTTGGGATGTTGCATCTCTATCATCCCAGATATGGGAAGTTCCGGGAGGTATTTCACAACGATCCAACTAGCGCTTGGTACGCCGTGTTCAAAGACAAGATCAAGAACTGTCTAATTAAAACCTGAGGCAAGAGTTGTACTCGACTGTGGTACTGGGTAATAGTCTTTTCAATGTCAAACTTATCTCGTTCAATGTCATATAATAATATTCTTCAACATAGTTGGGTCTGTAGGGCACTGTTTCACTGGAGACATCTCACATTGCTAGTAGTGAATGTACTATGCTTGCTAATCTTTGGGTCACTGTGGTTGGTGAGGAGTAAAACTGAATCGATATCAATCCTTTGTCAAATTCTCTACCGTAGAGTGAATTTTCTCATTCACTGCATTCATGGACAGTCAAAGAATGCCTATCTATAAATACTGCCTAAGCTCTAGTTCTCTCTCCCAGACTTATGCCTAACCATCTTCCCTCCAAATCAGTGATCATGGCACCCTTCCAGCTGACTCTTTCTCTACTCCTCACCGTGATAACATCTTCTGCCAATGCTGTGAGCACCACTTGGGAAACTCATCCTTCCCACCCAACTTTGCCAGGAACTGCTCCCAACTGCAACAAATGGTACACTGCAAAGAAGGGCGATGACTGTTCCACTGTGCAGCGTGACTATGGCATCTCTGCCGACGACTTTTTCCGTTGGAATCCATCGGTCTCCAAGGACTGTAAGAAGAACTTTTGGGTGGATACATCGTACTGCGTTGGATTAGGGCTAGCTATCACCACCGGGACACCAACCCCAACGGTTACAACCTCGGTTGGCGGCTCGCTGACAACTACGTCTATACCGACCACGAAGACTACGCCCATCACCTCTACCCCAAGCGGCGATGGGACCTCAATATCTGCTGGTTCCAGCTCTCCAACGACTAAGGCCACCTACACGTTTAATCATCCCACTACCACCTGGACTCCATCTCCGCCTCCGCGAGAGACAGCATGGCCTCCCACAAAAACCCAGCCAGGCCAGCCCACATCGTGCACCAGATGGCATGAGGTCATGATCGGTGACACCTGTGACACAATCACAAGCCGCTACAGCTCGTGGATAACGAAGGAAGATCTGTGAGTAACTCCAATCCCCTCCCCCCTCCCCCCCAACGTCATTGGAACAGTTCGGGCAGCTAACATTATACTTAGACTGGAGTGGAATCCCGGCCTCCAGGAAGATTGTAACTCCCCTCTCGTGGGTTATTTTTTATGCGTCATCGTCAGACCGACTGACTACATTATAACCTATCCAACTGGTTCAACCCCGTTGGTCATTCCTACACCTACGCCTTATACACCCCCACCTCCAGTTTGCCCTAATACCACGGATACTGAGCTTGTGCCCTCGCCAACACAGTCAGGAATGCCCTCAAAATGCCAACTATACTACCATGCTACTGCTGTAAGTAACCCAAGCTAGTAGCCTCGTTTATCGACTCTCTGTTGCTGACGTGCAACTATACAGGGAGACTCCTGTTCCAAGATCTTGTCACAGTATAACATGCCCGAGAAACTTCTCCATGAATGGAATCCGGCTCTTGGTCCCGATTGCAAGGGCCTACTGCCTGACTACTACTACTGTCTCCTTCCCAGCGGGTTCGTGCCCATGCCGCTCACCGTCACCACAGCCCCGGCTCCCACTCAAACTGGGATCGCCAGCAACTGCAAGGCTTGGTACCGAAGGAATCAGTCCGAGACGTGTTCCGATATAGTGCGCTCTTTCGGTACATTCTCAGAGGAGGACTTCAAGGCCTGGAATCCTGCTGTTGGCCAGAAATGTGCCAGACTTATCGTAAGAATATTCTTCCAGGAGATTGGAACCGTAGCGCCAACTAACCTCGGATTGTCCCTATTAGGATGGTAACTGGTACTGTGTCGCCGTGCCTGGTACTCCTTCCACACGCACTGCACCTGTTCCAGCTTTTCCAACAAGTGTTCCGCGCCAGCCAAATGTCATCAAGAACTGCACCCAATGGTGGCATGTATCCGAGTCAGTGATCGACACCCCCCCCCCCTCCCCCCCAACAAACGTTCACTGCTAGACTCTTAACAGCACTCAGTAGTGACGACGACTGCTACAATGTCGCCCGGAAGAACGGTATCACAATGGACGACTTTCTCGCATGGAACCCCGACGTACGCTCCGGCCAATATGACTGCAAGGTTCTACCCATCGACCACGAAGTTTGTGTCGGCATACGACCCAAACCGCCCATTCCCGGATGCACGCCCATCACCACAAATACAACAACCTCGTCCAATATGACCCTATACCCGCCAACTAGAACCTCCTGGCACCGGACCCTGACCACCACAACGCTCGTTACTCAATGCGAGGACCCATCCTCATCCACCTTTGCCACGGCAACAATAACCACAACGAGGCTGGTGACTCAGCCTCCACCCCCCACCACCGCACCTCCTAATACTACGTTCACGACTGCCAGATCAGCCCCGACTCAGGGTACGGACTCGTCTTCTCCAGGCTCTGGGAAGTCACCTGTGGACTACTCAACTCTACCTCCCCTTTCTTCACCGTCATCCAGCTGTCCCTTCACCAATAGTTCCATGACGTCCATTGGCCCGTCAACGAAAAGCCCAGTAGACAGTAGTTCTGGGCCGATTACCCGCCCAACTCAGGGTCATGGTACTACCGTGACCGGATCGCCGCCACCTGAGGCTGAAGCTTCCTCGACCATGACTGTGACTACGACTATCACGACACAATGCTCCTCATCCTCCACTACTACATCTATGGTGAATACAAGCTCACCGGATGATACTACAGTCGTAACTGCCACGATGACGACTCGATGTTCGACATCTTCTGCCTCAGGGACAAGCGAACCAGATTACACGGAGATCGAGACTAGAACAATGACAACTCGCTGTTCGACTTCGGGTGCGAAGACCTCGCAGAGTCAGACGGCAAATGAACCTTCAATGACCATTATGCATGGATGATTTAGTCTAGTCAGGGTAGCAGTACTTAGCAGCTCATATCGTTTGCCATGGAAAATCTGCAGGAGGTTGTTGGGAAATATTACGTGGATTTGGTCGATGGGGAGGAATGGCTTGTTTTCTTTTATGACTGTCTAGGAGAAACCACGTGCATGAGCGTGATAATTAACATGAATTGAAATTTCTACATAATCCTGAAGAAACAAACCCTTCGATTGTAAGGATCAGACTAGGGAAATGTAAGCAGGATAACCTTAGCAGAGATGAACACCTAAGCTTTCCTAAATTTGAAGGTGATCACCATCATCATATGGATTGTACTATGTATAAAACTAAGTATACGTATACCCAACCCAACTTGCAATATAATCAACATACATACCTACACAGTGAAGACAACAGAATCACTCTTGTATGACCTCCAGCAAACAAACAAACCAACCCCAAAATCCCACCACCAAAATCCCTCACATCTCCACTTCCACTCTTCCCCAGCCAACATCCCACCAAAAAAAAAAGGAAAAAAAAAAAAAAAAAAA